TGGTTGGAATATGTGTGTTGTGTGTGTGTTTTTTTTTTTTTTTTTTAATTAGCCAAATTAATGAGTTCTGTGCAAATTATAAGGTAGGTCTGACAGTTAAATGAGCAGTTTCTTGTGCTCAATCACTAAGAATTGGGTCAAAGAGAGTATTGGAATTGGCTTAAAATGGGGCTCAAGGTGGACAAAATTGCTGATGCCTAAATTGCTCCCAGACCACCAATTTTGTGCCTGTGTATTTCTACAAGTTTTCCATCAAATTTTGCATTTTAGGTGTCATGACCATTAGAAAGATTCTCTACCATTTCTCACTTTTTATTTTTTAATTGTGATGCTGTCAGCACTTTATTTCAGGGGGTTGCTGCAGTGAAAGGGTTAAAAGAGTACTGTAAATGGCTTAGCAATCTTAGTGGCACTATGCACAGTAATTTTGGTAATATTGTCTTGTGGGGTGTGTGCCATTTGCCCTTACCTCTACTCTGCTTTTATTCAGTTGCTTCACTAAAAACATGTACAGGTCCATCATCACAAATCTGGCAATCAGTTATTCGGTTCCTTCAGTTATCTGGTGCTAATTTCAGGTAGCATAATTTCAAATTTCCAGGGTCACCACACCAACCTGCTACTACTGTTTGGTGGCGCTACTTGCTGCACAAGTCATTCCAATTTCTTTCTCCATTTATTGTTATAACCTGCTTGCTTTTAGCCCTGGCCTTGGTTCCAACAAATAAGAGATGCTTCTCGTTGTGTAAAGCACATACACAGTACATTGTCCATAAAAGATAAGGTGGCTTTGGAGCCACTGTCGGTTGCCATGAGCTCAGTCTCGTGATGCAAGGAATATGCTTTATTATTACGCTAATATCAACACTACAGCTTATTTACCTATCATAATTGATCTAATATGACATAAACAATATAAATAAAAACATTGTAAATACTCCAGAATGAATAATATTTGGCATAATACAGAGCAATTCGACAGAGGTATGAAGAGGATATGGGAGACAAGTACCATCCTCCTATTCATCTTTGTGGCTTATATTAGAGAAAACTGAGTATAGCACAGGGCTGACTGTGATATACACTCATAATGCACCATAAAACTGAAACAAAAAAGCTATTTTCTCTACATAGATTATCATACATAGCTGCATATGTGTAGAGAACCTAGGATAACCCAAAAAAGTTAGTGACTTATTTCTAGTACCTGGCTTGGGCTTGCCATATATGATTTTTGGCAAATTATTTTTTTTTCTCAGTTGTTTGTTGGGCTATCTTATTGAAACTTGGGCAATGTATGATGGAAAGATGCTTCTTAACATACACCAAAAATGAAAGAAATTGGACCATAAATAATGGAGTTAACTTCTCAGCCATTATCTGCCCCTTAGCAATATATTTTTGAATGGTTTTTATGGTTGTATTCTTGTTTTTTCGGTCTCATTTGATAGAATGGAAGATATATTACAGAAATAGATATGATTTTGATTGCTTTTAAAACGAAAAGTACCTTGAAATTGAGCTTAAAGTAGCGGAAATGTTCGACTTTTGCAGGTGTTCAATGAACTTTCTTGTGCAAGTCAAGTTGGTTAACTTTATTAAGTGTATTCTAACTTAACCACTCTGTAATTCGGCAAACTCAATAATCCGGCACACCACAGGTCCCAATGATGCCGGATATGTGATAGTGGACCTGTACAGGCAAACCCAGCTAATTAATGTCCAGTCGTATTTTCTGCAATGTAATGTGCCAACCCCTTGTGTAACATTTAGTTTCTCTCCTCGATGAACACTTTCCCCAACAGAATTGTGCTCAGTTTTCAATTTCACAGCTCATTCTACATTTAAATACATCAACACTGTTCCTTCACCATTTTCTGGAAATAATTTAAGAATGTGGCTGAACCTTGCAGAAATGTTCAGTGTATGCATGAAAATTGAGAGTGGAGTTTTCCTTGAGATATACGAGGTAATAAGTTATTAAAAGAATTAACTTTATATATAGGTGGGAACTAGTAGGGTAATTACCTGTTTAGAATTGAGTTGCTTTGGTGAGCTCCAGCTCTTGGTTATGCCTTGTAACTCTTGTCAAACTGACATATTTGAGCCTTGTCATATCTGTTTTTGAACTCTTGAATGGAGTTAGCTTCCACTGTGTATTAGCTCATTCTACTTGTTGACCACAGTGTACGGAGCATAAGAATATGTATGAAATACTTGTATATTTTATAGGTTTATAGCTTTATATGTGAGATCTTTAATGCTCCCTAGTGGGAAATTTCAAGAGAGTTTTTTTTATTTACCAATACTTAGTTTCTATATCTAGTGTGAATGTGTATATATTTCACTTCTACAGGTCCATTATCCTTTTGAGAAAAAACGTGAGTTTGAAGATTGTTTTCCTGCCGATTTCATTGCTGAGGGCATTGACCAAACGCGTGGGTGGTTTTACACGCTCCTAGTTATTTCAACAGCACTTTTTGGAAAACCTCCATTTAAGAATCTAATTGTTAATGGACTGGTGCTGGCAGAAGATGGCCAGAAAATGAGCAAACGGAAAAAGAATTACCCAGATCCAATTGAAGTTGTTAACAAATATGGTGCTGATGCATTAAGGCTTTACCTCACAAACAGGTGATTATATTTGCACATTTCTTCATTATTTAAGGCCATCCTCATCCATTTGGATCTTATTGATTTGTGTGTTTTCACTGTCATATTTCAGTGTTGGCAAAAGCTTTTAGCAATTACTAATTATGCTTTATCAGTGCCATGAGTGAAATAACATGAGAAATATGTAAGACTTGCACCTAGCTTACACCACAGCTTGAGGCTTTGCGAACCTCTCAAAACCTCTCTCCAAGCTAGGCAATTCTTACATATTTACCATGGCATTGATAAAGCATCCATAATGACTGAAAGTTTTGGCCAATAATTTTCCCATATTTAGAGGGTATTTTGATATTCAGTTTTCATGAAATTAATTAATTTTTGTTGCTCCCTTGCTTATATACCCAGTCTTTTAATTTCTCTAGCAGCTTGGCATGAATTTTATTTAATAACACATGTTAATTTTTAAAAGTTTATTATATGTTGTAGTTTGTTAATCCTAAACCTTTTCATTTCTAGCTTGATGCTTTTTTTAATTATTGAATTTGTCTTTGTAGAAACTTGCATTTAATATATTATACAAGATATTCAATTTGTTTTACACAATAGTTAGGATTGTTCGTGTCTTTTCCTTTGTCTCGTAAACATGCAAGATAACAGGTACATCTTGCTACTTCTACTTGCACTTACGTCACACTAGACAGGCATGTACATATGTATACACACCCATCTGATATTTCTTTGTATTCTTATTGATCTCTCTTTTTTTCATCTCCATGTGGAATTTAAAGGAATTTTTCCTCCATAAGCCATTTGTGTTGTAAGAGGTGACTAAAATGCTGGAAGTAAGGGGCTAGTAACCCCCTTCTCCTGTATAAATTACTAATGTAAAAAGAAGATAAACTTTATAGTTTTATTCTTTTTTTGGGTCACTCTGCTTCTGTGGGAGATGGCTGGAATATTTAAAGACATTCAGTTTTCAATATTTACTTTCAAATGACCAGATGTTACACAAGTCTTAAATGCTTTGGATATTATTATGTAAATAAAATCTCAAGATGCTTAAATGTAAATCCTCCAGCTTATAATTTGTTGTGAATTTCTTACACTAATTATGTAGAACCTAGTGATAATCTGGGGGAAATAAATGTTTTTATATCTAATAGGGATAACATTTCATAGGTAGTAGGTTGGTAGACAGCAACCGCCCAGGGAGGTACTACCGTCCTGCCAAGTGAGTGTAAAACGAAAGCCTGTAATTGTTTTACATGATGGTAGGATTGCTGGTGTCCTTTTTTCTGTCTCATGAACATGCAAGATTTCAGGTACGTCTTGCTACTTCTACTTACACTTAGGTCACACTACACATACATGTACAAGCACATATATACACACCCCTCTGGGTTTTCTTCTATTTTCTTTCTAGTTCTTATTCTTGTTTATTTCCTCTTATCTCCATGGGGAAGTGGAACAGAATTCTTCCTCCGTAAGCCATGCGTGTTGTAAGAGGCGACTAAAATGCCGGGAGCAAGGGGCTAGTAACCTCTTCTCCTGTATATATTACTAAATGTAAAAGGAGAAACTTTCGTTTTTCCTTTTGGGCCATCCCGCCTCGGTGGGATATGGCCGGTGTGTTGAAAGAAGAAGAAGAAAGAAAGGGATAATATTTACTTGTGCTGTTTATTTCAAATCAGCTTCAACCAAATTGGTTTAGATTTTATGTATAGAATTTGTAATGGGAGGGAGGGGGAGGTAGATGTCAAGGCATTTCAGTCAATTATGGATCATTTTGAAATTGAGTGGACTTGGTAATGGTCAAGGATGTACCAAAATGCTCTAGTAACATTACTCGTTTTTCTAAAAAATGCATGGGGAGATAGTGATGTGTTAGCTGATGGTGACAGTCAATGTATGCAATATTTTTAAAAGCCCCTTCCTTCCTCGTGGCCTTTGTTTATTTCACTGTCTGGTACCCTTAGTACTAGTTTTTACTCTCACTTATCCAACATTTTCACCCTCATCACCAGGAGCATTGAAACATTTACCTCTTCATTACAAGAATAGTTAATGTAATTTTTTAGAAAATAAGGTTTTTCAATATCAGAACTGGTTTTAGGTATTAATGATTATGTTCATGGATTTTGGTCACACGAATAACAGTATTTTACTGTAGTCTTAAGACGGTGCACTGCATTTTCATGCAGTTATATTTTTAAAATTGAGCAAAGATTGGAAGTGTAAAATAAACCCAGTGAGGAGCAGGGGTGCGGTGGGGACATGAAGGAAACACTGGATCAATATCCGGGGTCTCAGACTATTCAACATCTTAGCAGAAGATATCAGAAACATGGCTGGGACAAGTGTGGAAGCCTTCAAGAGGAAAATGGACAAGTATCTTCACCAGGTGCCAGATCAACCAGGCTGTGATGGATATGTGGGGGCAGCAGGCCTCCAGCAGCAACAGCCTGGTTGACCAGGCAAGCACCAGACGAGCCTGACGCATGGCTGGGCTCAGAGAGTAGAGAAACTCTTGAAACTCTTCAGAAGTATATCGAAGGTATAGTTAGACTTTCATGTATATATACACATTGAATTCATGAACATGATAAACAAAAGATTATCCTGTGTACTATTTTTTTTTGCAGTCCATCAGTGCGTGGCGAGAATCTGCGGTTTAAAGAGGCCGACGTATTTAATCTGCTCAAGGAAGTATTCATTCCATGGCTCAATGCTTACCGCTTCTTTGTGCAACAAGTGGAAAGGTAAGGATGGGCATGATTATTGGGAGTGCATTATTTGATTTCAAAGTACTGTATCCTTTTTCACTCTTATGTCCAAAACTTATGCAATTAGATTCTCTACATAGTGTCAGCATGTGTGAACATTAAACCATACAACGGGCGGGGATAGAACCTGCGATCAGAGAGTCTCAAAACTCCAGACCATCGCGTTAGCCACTGGACCAGCTAGCCACAATAAGATTCGTCCAACTAGGTATATTTCTACACCATAGGAAGGTTAGCATAGGCACCACTATGACCACAAATGCAAGTTTTTACAGACGAATCTCCAGCTAGCGTGGCCGTGACGAACTCTAGCTCAAGTCCCCTCAAAGCCATTAACATGACTCACGAAATCGTAATGATACAATTGCAAACAAACCATACCACCAGCGGGGATGGAACCCACGATCAGAGAGTCTCAAAACTCCAGACCGTCGCGTTAGCCACTGGACCAGCTAGCCACAATAAGATTCGTCCAACTAGGTATATTTCTACACCATAAGAAGGTTAGCATAGGCACCACTGTAAAAACTTGCATTTGTGGTCAGTGGTGCCTATGCTAACCTTTCTATGGTGTAGAAATATACCTAGTTGGACGAATCTTATTGTGGCTAGCTGGTCCAGTGGCTAACGCGACGGTCTGGAGTTTTGAGACTCTCTGATCGCGGGTTCTATCCCCACCCGTGGTATGGTATGTTTGCAATCGTGTCATTACGATTTCGTGAGTCGTGTGAAAATTCTTTATATATTATGAAGCATATATAACAATGCACTAAAGTTCTATCACTGCCATCAGTGAATACCTATTACTAGATGGCTGGTGAATAACATTAATAATAATATATTTTCCTAGGAAATAGGTTCACATTACAAAGATTTCTTGTATGAAAAAGTTCATAGTAACGCAGAGAATTTTGGGCAGACTTAAACTGATATGATAAAAAAATTTTATTGCATAAGTATACCACCACTTTGATCATACTACATATGTATTGAGAGCTCAGATTTATTTAGAATACATTGGTTAAAAACCCAATTTAATAGTTGAAAACTTTGAGCAACTAGATGTTGAGCGTTCAATGTCTCAAGAAACTGTGGTGGCTGCTAGCCCCCACACTGTCCCCCACTCCTGTGTTCATCTGTTTTTCACTTTATCACCTGGTTTTGTCTCTAGATATTAACCATGGCATTAAAAAGAATATTAATATAGGAGATGCCTAAGAGGAATAAATTTGAAAGTGATATTAGAATCAATGGAACTCAAGTAGCACAAATAAGAAATGGGGATAATTCCTAAGTCTAATAGTGGACAACAAACTGAAATTTAAGACCCATATCCAAGGTTAGCTGGGCTTGAGTCCTGGAGGTGGGAAGTACAGTGCCTGCACTTTGAAGGAGAGGTAGGGATATTGTAGTTTGCAGGGGCATCTGAAGTGTAGTATTGGCACATCTCTGGCAAGAGTGATGGAGTGAGTGATGGTGAAAGTGTTTCTTCTTTCTCAGGTTACCCTGCCTCTGTGGGAGACAGCCAGTGTGTTAAAAAAATCCAAACGTACTAACAAGTCCCGGATGACAGGAATACTCTCCAAAATTTGCTATCATGTTTTACAACCTGCATTTCTAATACTTCGTTCTTCCCCTCATCTCCCTATACCTCACTTATGGAATCTGTGCCTGGGGATCCACTTTGGCTCTATTCCTTAACCAATTATAACTCGACACAAGGCAGCTCTTGGAACAATCGCACACTACTGATAAGCAACACTCTGTGCTCCTATTCAAATTCCATAGCCTACTAATTATAAATTAAGTTAATACTGTTGTTCGATCCACATGTTCAAAACATTGAATTGTAATGCTGAACTTTAACAATTGCTAGAAAATTATCAGTACAAATGATGTATCATGTGAAAATAAAGAATTTCAGTTTCATACAAAAAGAAAGCTGTGTGGTGAAGTTATAATAGCCTCAGGCATTGTATTAGCTTTTTTTTTTTTTTTTTTTTTTTTCTTTCTTTCTTTCTTTCTTTCTTTCTTTCTTTCTTTCTTTCTCTCTCTCAACAAGTCGGCCGTCTCCCACTGAGGCAGGGTGACCCAAAAAAGAAAAAATCCCCAAAAAGAAAATATTTTCATCATCATTCAACACTTTCACCACACTCGCACATTATCACTGTTTTTGCAGAGGTGCTCAGAAGATACACAACATATCCCTCCAAACTGCCAATATCCCAAACCCCTCCTTTAAAGTGCAGGCATTGTATTAGCTATGTCTATTTATTCTGGAAGGAACACCTGTTCATTTTTCTGTGGAAAGGATATACACTGTCACTTACCTCAAGTCTTACTTGAGTAAGTTTATTTAATAACCTTGTTCTCATCATCCAAAGATTATAAACTATAAAAAAACGTATATAGAAATGTATGGTACTGTTGAATGATTTTATTTACAAACCTTACATGGATCATTGATAGGTAGTAGGTTGGTAGACAGCAACCGCCCAGGGAGGTACTACCGTCCTGCCAAGTGAGTGTAAAATGAAAGCCTGTAATTGTTTTACATGATGGTAGGATTGCTGGTGTCCTCTTTTCTGTCTCATGAACATGCAAGATTTCAGGTATGTCTTGCTACTTCTACTTACACTTAGGTCACACTACACATACATGTACAAGCATATATATACACACACCCTTCTGGGTTTTCTTCTATTTTCTTTCTAGTTCTTATTCTTGTTTATTTCTTCTTATCTCCATGGGGAAGTGGAACAGAATTCTTCCTCCGTAAGCCATGCGTGTTGTAAGAGGCGACTAAAATGCCAGGAGCAAGGGGCTAGTAACCTCTTCTCCTGTATATAATACTAAATGTTAAAGGAGGAACTTTTGTTTTTCCTTTTGGGCCACCCCGCCTCGGTGAGATACGGCCGGTGTGTTGAAAGAAGAAGATATGGATCATTGATATTGGCCATTACTTTGCAAAGTTTGCTGTATGTTTGAGAGTATAATCGTTCTTGTACAAAATCTTTCTCAACCTATGTCATATGTATATGCCAAAACCATATTTTACTTTTGATTTTTCTTCAAAAGAATCTGCAAAAATTCTGAACACTTAGTCTGTAACTACCTACCACTCTTAGATCTGACACTGTCATATCTTAATATTAAAATTTATTTGAAATTTATATTATTTTACAGGTACGAGAAGGATGAAGATGAGAAATTTGAGTTTGAGGAAAGTGTAATGGGCAAGTCTAACAATGTGATGGACCGGTGGATTCTGTCATTCACTCAGTCGCTTCTCAGCTTTGTGCACCAAGAAATGGCTGCATACCGTCTTTACACTGTGGCTCCCAGGCTTGTGAAATTTGTTGATAATCTTACAAACTGGTATGTCAGATTTAACCGCAAGAGGCTTAAAGGAGACACTGGTAAAGAAGACTGTATGAATGCTCTGGAGACCTTGTACTCTGTGTTGTTGTGCATTGTAAGAGTTATGGCTCCATTCACACCTTTCATCACGGAAACTATGTACCAAAACTTGAAGAGAGTTCTCAAACCTGGCACCCTTGGAAAGGTGAGTTCATTGTGGTGTAGAATTGTGATTTAGAGAGTTACCAGAAGAAAAGAACTGGATATTAATGAACATTGTAAATCTTGAACATCGTAAATCTTTGATATTATTTTGCTAAAATGATGCTTTAAGCATAAATGCAAAACTTTAATTCCTGCTGTATACAAAATGCTGAAGTACAGTAAACCCTGTATTTAATGGACTAATGGTGAGAGCAGGTGGTCAGTGGTGATTGTGGTGGATTTTAGTTTATTATTTTGATATAATTGTAACAGTGGACAGTTCTATAACTAACAGACTTGTTTATTAATTGGTTAACCCAGCTGATTATGTCCCACATTTCCAGTCTGTTAACCCTTAAATTGTCTAAACTTAGATCTGCGTTTGCTTGCGTAGTGCTCTGAACGTAGATCTACGTTTTTTCTTAAAGAAGAAAGCGTGTAAAATTGAACATAGATCTATGTTTAGAGTGCTACGTTAGCGAACGTAATCTATATTTGGACAGTTTAAGGGTTAAATTTATAGGTAGTAGGTTGGTAGACAGCAACCACCCAGGGAGGTACTACCGTCCTGCCAAGTGAGTGTAAAACGAAGCCTGTGATTGTTTTACATGATGGTAGGATTGCTGATGTCTTTTGTCTGTCTCATAAATATGCAAGATTACAGGCATGTCTTGCTACTTCTACTTACACTTAGGTCACACTACACATACATGTACACATTTATTTATACACACTCATCTGAGTTTTCTTTGATTTTATCTTAATAGTTCTTGGTCTTATTAATTTTCCTTTTATAATCCATGGGGAAGTGGAATAAGAATCTTTCCTCCGTAAGCCATGCTGTTGTAAAAGTCAAACTAAAATGCCGGGAACAATGGGCTAGTAACCCCTTTTTCCTGTAAAGATTACTAAAAAGAATAAGAAGAAGAAAATTGTCAAAGTGGGAAGTCTGAATGTGCGTGGATGTTGTGCAGATGATAAGAAAGAGATGATTGTGGATGTTATGAATGAGAAGAAGCTGGATGTCCTGGCTTTAAGTGAAACAAAGCTGAAGGGGGTGGGAGAGTTTCAGTGGAGAGGAATAAATGGGATTAGGTCAGGGGTTTCAAATAGAGTTAGAGCTAAAGAAGGAGTAGCAATAATGTTGAAGGATAAGCTATGGCAGGAAAAGAGGGACTATAAATGTATAAATTCAAGGATTATGTGGAGTAAAATAAAGATTGGATGTGAAAAGTGGGTTATAATAAGCGTGTATGCACCTGGAGAAGAGAGAAGTGTAGAGGAGAGAGAGAGATTTTGGGAAATGTTGAGTGAATGCGTGGGAGTTTTGAATCAAGTGTGAGAGTAATGGTGGTTGGGGATTTTAATGCTAAAGTGGGTAAAATGTTATGGAGGGAGTAGTAGGTAAATTTGGGGTGCCAGGGGTAAATGTAAATGGGGAGCCTTTAATTGAGCTATGTGTAGAAAGAAATTTGGTAATAAGTAATACATATTTTATGAAAAAGAGGATAAATAAATATACAAGGTATGATGTAGCACGTAATGAAAAGTAGTTTATTAGATTATGTATTGGTGGATAAAAGGTTGATGGGTAGGCTCCAGGATGTACATGTTTATAGAGGGGCAACTGATATATCGGATCATTATTTAGTTGTAGCTACAGTTAGAGTAAGAGGTAGATGGGAAAAGAGGAAGGTGGCAACAACAAGTAAGAGGGAAGTGAAAGTGTATAAACTAAGGGAGGAGGAAGTTCGGGTGAGATATAAGCGACTATTGGCAGAAAGGTGGGCTAGTGCAAAGAATGAGTAGTGGGGGGGTTGAAGAGGGTTGGAATAGTTTTAAAAAATGCAGTATTAGAATGGGGGGGGCAGAAGTTTGTGGTTATAGGAGGGTGGGGGCAGGAGGAAAGAGGAGTGATTGGTGGAATGATGAAGTAAAGGGTGTGATAAAAGAGAAAAAGGTAGCTTATGAGAGGTTTTTACAAAGCAGAAGTGTTATAAGAAGAGCAGAGTATATGGAGAGTAAAAGAAAGGTAAAGAGAGTGGTGAGAGAGTGCAAAAGGAGAGCAGATGATAGAGTGGGAGAGGCACTGTCAAGAAATTTTAATGAAAATAAGAAAAAATTTGGAGTGAGTTAAACAAGTTAAGAAAGCCTAGGGAAAATATGGATTTGTCAGTTAAAAACAGAGTAGGGGAGTTAGTAATGGGGAGATGGAGGTATTGGGTAGATGGCGAGAATATTTTGAGGAACTTTTAAATGTTAAGGAAGAAACAGAGGCAGTAATTTCATGCACTGGTCAGGGAGGTATAAACCCTCTTTTAGGAGTGAAGAAGAGCAGAATGTAAGTGTGGGGGAGGTACGTGAGGCATTACGTAAAATGAAAGGGGTAAAGCAGCTGGAACTGATGGGATCATGACAGAAATGTTAAAAGCAGGGGGGATATAGTGTTGGAGTGGTTGGGACTTTTGTTTAATAAATGTATGAAAGAGGGAAGGTACCTAGGGATTGGCAGAGAGCATGTATAGTCCCTTTATATAAAGGGAAAGGGGACAAAAGAGACTGTAAAAATTATAGAGGAATAAGCTTACTGAGTATAAACCCGGAAAAGTGTACGGTTTGGGTTATAATTGAAAGAATTGAGGGAAGACAGAATGTAGGATTGCGGATGAGCAAGGAGGTTTTAGAGTGGGTAGGGGATGTGTAGATCAGGTGTTTACATTGAAGCATATATGTGAACAGTATTTAGATAAAGATAGGGAAGTTTTTATTGCATTTATGGATTTAGAAAAGGCATATGATAGAGTGGATAGAGGAGCAATGTGGCAGATGTTGCAAGTATATGGAATAGGTGGTAAGTTATTAAATGCTGTAAAGAGTTTTTATGAGGATAGTGAGGCTCAGGTTAGGGTGTGTAGAAGAGAGGGAGACTACTTCCCGGTAAAAGTAGGTCTTAGACAGGGATGTGTAATGTCACCATGGTTGTTTAATATATTTATAGATGGGGTTGTAAAGGAAGTAAATGCTAGGTGTGTTTGGGAGAGGGTGGGATTAAATTATGGGGAATCAAATTCAAAATGGGAATTGACACAGTTACTTTTTGCTGATGATACTGTGCTTATGGGAGATTCTAAAGAAAAATTGCAAAGGTTAGTGGATGAGTTTGGGAATGTGTGTAAAGGTAGAAAGTTGAAAGTGAACATAGAAAAGAGTAAGGTGATGAGGGTGTCAAATGATTTAGATAAAGAAAAATTGGATATCAAATTGGGGAGGAGAGTATGGAAGAAGTGAATGTTTTCAGATACTTGGGAGTTGACGTGTCGGCGGATGGATTTATGAAGGATGAGGTTAATCATAGAATTGATGAGGGAAAAAAGGTGAGTGGTGCGTTGAGGTATATGTGGAGTCAAAAAACGTTATCTATGGAGGCAAAGAAGGGAATGTATGAAAGTATAGTAGTACCAACACTCTTATATGGGTGTGAAGCTTGGGTGGTAAATGCAGCAGCGAGGAGACGGTTGGAGGCAGCGGAGATGTCCTGTTTAAGGGCAATGTGTGGTGTAAATATTATGCAGAAAATTCGGAGTGTGGAAATTAGGAGAAGGTGTGGAGTTAATAAAAGTATTAGTCAGAGGGCAGAAGAGGGTTGTTGAGGTGGTTTGGTCATTTAGAGAGAATGGATCACAGTAGAATGACATGGAAAGCATATAAATCTATAGGGGAAGGAAGGCGGGGTAGGGTCGTCCTCGAAAGGGTTGGAGAGAGGGGGTAAAGGAGGTTTTGTGGGTAAGGGGCTTGGACTTCCAGCAAGCGTGCGTGAGCGTGTTAGATAGGAGTGAATGGAGACGAATGGTACTTGGGACCTGACGATCTGTTGGAGTGTGAGCAGGGTAATATTTAGTGAAGGGATTCAGGGAAACCGGTTATTTTCATATAGTCGGACTTGAGTCCTGGAAATGGGAAGTACAATGCCTGCACTTTAAAGGAGGGGTTTGGGATATTGGCAGTTTGGAGGGATATGTTGTGTATCTTTATATGTTTATGCTTCTAGACTGTTGTATTCTGAGCACCTCTGCAAAAACAGTGATAATGTGCGAGTGTGGTGAAAGTGTTGAATGATGATGAAAGTATTTTCTTTTTGGGGATTTTCTTTCTTTTTTGGGTCACCCTGCCTCGGTGGGAGACGGCCGACTTGTTGAAAAAAAAAAAAAAAAAAAAAAAAAAAGGGTTAAATAGTTTTGCTGAGCTGAGGGTTTACCATATCACATATAGAATTATACATATTTGAAATTGCAGTGTGAAAGAATCCCTTTTTGGGGGAGGCAAGTCACTCTTCCTTGAGACATGGCCACTTTGTTGAAAAAAATGATGTAGAAAATTTATCAACAGAGAAAGTATACAATGGCCTCTTTGTTATATTGAGTTGTATCCTTAGAGTTTTGGTGCTGTACAATTCTTAAGAGTTTAGCATTTTCTCATGAATATATATAAAAATGTAATACAGTGGACCCCCGCCTTACGAATGCATCATGTTACATTAAATCTGCCATACGAAGCATTTGAACACAAAAATTTTGCCTTGCCTCACGATAAAAAACTCGCCTTACGTGATTCGTCTAGGATACATCCCACGTGTGGCCTCAGCTGCCCTGTGGGTGCCAGTGTTTACAAGCCAGCCAGTGCGGTCGCATCTAAACATACATTCGGTACATTTCATATTATCACAGTGTTTGTAGTGCTTGTAACTGCAAAATAAGTCACCATGGGCCCCAAGAAAGCTTCTAGTGCCAACCCTCTGGTAAAAAGGGTGAAAATTACTATGAAAATGAAGAAAGAGATAATTGCTAAGTATGAAAGTGGAGTGCGTGTCTCGGAGCTGGCCAGGTTGTATACCAAACCCCAATCAACCATCGCTACTATCTTGGCCAACAAAACGGCAATCAAGGGAGCTGTTCTTGCAAAAGGTGCAAGTTTGTTTTCGAAACAGATCGCAAGTGATAGAAGATGTTGACTGTTATTGGTGTGGATAAACGAAAAACAGATAGCAGGAGATGGCATCTCTCAAGCGATCATGTGTGAAAAGGCTAGGAAGTTGCATGATTTAATTAGAAAAATGCCTGCAACTAGCGGTGATGTGAGTGAATTTAAGGCCAGCAAAGGTTGGTTTGAGAGATTTAAGAATCGTAGTGGCATACATTGTGTGATAAGGCATGGTGAGGGTGCCAGTTCAGACCAAAAAGCGGCTGAAAAGTGTGTGAAGGAATTCAAGGAGTACATAGACAATGAAGAATTGAAACCTGAACAAGTGTTTAATTGCGACGAAACAGGCCTGTTTTGGAAGAAAATGCCAAGCAGGACCTACATTACTCAGGAGGAAAAGGCACTCCCAGGACATAAGCCTATGAAAGACAGGCTTACTCTTTTGATGTGTGCTAATGCTAGTGGTGATTGCAAAGTGAAGCCTTTATTGGTGTATCACTCTGAAGCTCCCAGAGCGTTCAGGCAAAACAATGTCCTCAAGGCTAATTTGTGTGTGCTGTGGAGGACAAACAGTAAGGCATGGGTCACTATGGACTTTTTCTATGACTGGTTACACCATGCATTTGCCCCCATTGTGAAAAATTACCTAATGAAAAAGAAACTGGACCTTAAGTGCCTCCTGGTATTAGACAATGCTCCTGGTCATCCTTCAGACTTGGCAGAGTGACTTTCTGGGGACATGAGCTTCATTAAGGTCAAGTTTTTGCCTCCTAATACCACTCCTTTCCTGCAGCCCATGGACCAGCAGGTTATTTCAAACTTCAAAAAACTCTACACAAAAGCTATGTTTCAAAAGTGTTTTGAAGTGACCTCAGACACTCGATTGACTCTAAGAGAGTTTTGGAAAGATCACTTTAGTATCCTCAGTGGTGTAAACCTTATAGGTAAGGCTTGGGAGGGAGTGACTAAGAGGACCTTGAACTATGCTTGGAAGAAACTGTGGCCACAATGTGTAGAAGAAAGGGATTTTGAAGGGTTTGGGGCTAACCCTGAGAAGCATATGCAAGTTGTGGAATCTATTGTGGCATTGGGGAAGTCCTTGGGGTTGGAGGTTAATGGGGAGAATGTGGAAGAGTTGGTGGAGGAGGACAATGAAGAACTAACCACTGATGAGCTGCAAGATCATCTTCAACAGCAAGAGGCCAGACCTGAGGAAATTGCTTCAGAGGAGGGGAGAGAGAGAGATTGAGGAAGTTGCCTACTTCAAAGATTAAGGAAATGTGTGCAAAGTGGGTTGAACTGCAAACCTTTACGGATGAAAATCACCCTGACACAGCTACTGCAAGCCGTGTTGGCAACCTGTACAATGACAATGTTATGGCCTATTTTAGGAAAGTCTTAAAGGAACAGGAGGTACAGAGCTTCATGGACAGATTTGTTGTGCGACACAGGTCCAGTGACTCAAGCTGGTCCTAGTGGCATTAAAAGAAGGGAAGTAACCCCGGAAAAGGACTTGCTACCTCAACTCCTAATGGAAGGGGATTCCCCTTCTAAACAATAACTTCCACACACTCCCCTCCTCCCATCCCATCAATCATCACCAGATCTTCAATAAAGGTAAGTGTCATGTATTCTATTCTTAGTAGAGTAGTAATTGTGCATGTCTTCTTCAGTGTGTGTGTATTAAAATTAATATTTCATGCGGTAAAATTTTTTTTTCATACTTTGAGGTGTCAGGAACGGATTAATTTGATTTCCATTATTTCTTATGGGGAAAATTAATTCGGCTAATGATAATTTCGGCTTACGATGAGCTCTCAGGAACGGATTAATATCGTAAGGCGGGGGTCCACTGTATAATTTTTTTTCTCTCAACATGTCGGTTATCTCCCATGGAGGCAGGGTGACCCAAAAAGAAAGAAAATACTTGCATCACCATTCAACATTTTCACCTCACTCGTACATAATCACTGTCTTTGCAGAGGCGCTCAGATACAACAGTTTAGAAGTCCCTCCAAACTGCGAATATCCCCTCCTTTAAAGTGCAGTCATTGTACTTCCCATTTCCAATACTTGAGTCTGGCTAACCAGTTTCCCTGAATCCCTTCACAAAATATTACCCTGCTCACACTCCAGCAGCTCGTCTGGTCCCAAAAACCATTAGTCTCCATTCACTCCTATCTAACATGCTCTCACACGCTTGCTGGAAGGCCAAACCCCTTGCTCACAAAACCTTCTCTACCCTCTCCCTCAAACCTTATCGAGGATAACCCCCTACCCCGCCTTCCTTCCCCTACAGATATATATGCTCTCCAAGTCATTCTACTTTGATCCATTCTCTCTTAATGACCAAACCACCTCAACAACCCCTATTCGGCCCTCTGACTAATACTTTTAGTAACTCCACGCCTCTTCCTAATTTCCACATTCCGAATTCTGTGCATAATATTTACACCACGCATTGCCCTTAGACAGGACATCTCTATTACCTCCAGCCCCCACTTTGCTGCAGCATTTACAACCAAAGCTTCACAACCATAGAAAAGAATAAGCATTCTTAAGAGACCTTTTATGCATTAGGTTCTCCTTGTGTATATTTTAATATTTTGTCTTAATTTATTTTATATTGTTCTTTAACCCTTAAACTGTCCAAACGTAGATCTGCGTTTGCTCGTGTAGTGCTCTGACCTTGATTTTCTCCATAAGAAACAATGTTTAAAAAATGTAGACCTACATTCAGAGTGCTACGCGAGCAAACGTAGATCTATGTTTGGACAGTTTAAGGGTTAAATAAAATAAAATAATTTCTCACAAGGTAGGTTCCTTAAGGCTGGTGAAGAACTCTTGATCTAAGTAATTGAACCTGTGCTTTAACTCCTTGAATAGTCTGAATGTCTTTTATTCCCTGAGGAGCTGTACGACTCCTATGGGTTTAGCACTCCCCACGAATGTAATTTAACCCTTTCAGGGTTGAGAGGCCCTCTCCTAAGCTCGTTCTCAGGGTCGAAAATTTTTCAGAAAAAAAAAAAAAATTCTTATGAAATGATAGAGAATCTTTTCCCGATCCTAATGACACCAAAAGTATGAAATTTGATGGAAAACTTACCGAATTATTCTCTCGCGAAGTTAGCGATCTCGACGATGTTTATGCATCGGCGATTTTGCCCGCTTTGAGCCCTATTTTCGGCTAATTTCAGTGTACTAGTCGACAAAAATCATAACTATTTTGCTAGAACTCCATTTTTTCTATCAAATGAGTACAAGAAATCACCCATTTACCGATATCAAGTATCCAATAAAGTGGTCAGAAATTGGCAATTTTGCCAATTTCACACAAATTTCAGAAGATGCCAATTTCCAAATAGGGTCCAGAATAAGCAAGACAGACATTCCTGGCACTAAAATAACATTTTGTTCATTAGTCACATCCCCAGGCCCCTCTTACATCTCTTTTGCTTTCCACTGAATTTTTATTCTCACAAAAAAATAGAAGATTTACTGTTATGCAGACTACTGCATTAGTGTAGAAATGGTATAAATAATATCAGTGCACTTGTAAAAGAATATTAGACTCGCCAGTTGGCATGTATTGGACGCTTGGTATGATTTGTTTACTTTTGAAATTTGGTAAAAAATCGAACATTTCTGCTACTTTGAGCTCAATTTCAAGGCACTTTTCATTATGAAACCAATCAAAATCACCTCAATTTCTGTAATATGTCTTCCATTCTATAAAATGAGACCAGGAAAACTAGAATACAACCGTAAATACAATACAAAAATACACTGCAAAGTCGCTGTTTTAAACCAAAAACATGGTCAGAGTTTTTTTCTATCATTATGCACTGTGTACTGCAGGATTTTTTTTTTATACTGCGCACACTGACCACATAGACCCGTTCTTTCATATGTAGGCTTACCAGCTTTCCCTCACTAGATTTGAAGGCGCTAGAATTTAGGCTTTCTAGTACGTCAATAACCCTGGTGCGTAAGCCGTGCTAGTACGTCGGAAACCCTGAAAGGGTTAATTAAAGTAGTTTGGTTAAAACACTATAACTGCCATGAAAAGTTAAGAGGCTATGAATCTCCTTAACATGGTAACTCAAGAGTTAAAGTTGAGAATACAGTGATCATTCTTCTGGCTAGTCACACTTAGGGTATGGGAGCAAAGTGACAGCCCTTGCATATAAGTTATTTTAATGAGCCTAAAATTATTTTTTTTTTTTTTTTTTTAAACTTACTTTCTCTCTCTAAAGAAGGGGTAGGGATATTTTCTGTATGGAGGAACATTAGACCTATCATATCTATATGCCTCTGGCAAGACAGTGATAGTGTGAATGATGGTGAAAGTGTTTCTTTTTCCGGCCACCCTACTTTGGTGGGAGACAGCCAGTGTGTTAATTTGGAGGGTCATCTGATGTGTGGTGTCTGCACTCTTCTGGCAAGACATCTACCAAATGAATGATGGTGATACATTTTCCTTTTAGACTTTTGCTATCTTGGGAGATGATCAATGTGGTAAAAAAAAATATATAGTGGTACCTTGAGTTTCGAACAGCTCCCAACTTGAACAATTATGTAAGTGTATTTTTGTAAGTGTATTTTTGTAAGTGTATTTTTGTAAGTGTATTTTTGTAAGTGTATTTTTGTAAGTGTATTTTTGTAAGTGTATTTTTGTAAGTGTATTTTTGGGGTCTGAAACAGACTAATCTAATTTACATTATTCCTTATGGGAACAGATACATTCGTTAATGGCACTCGGACAGCCTTCTGGAACGAACGTAACTCAAGGTACCACCGTATTTAATTTTCCACTTGAATTACCACTGTGCAGTACATTATTGCTACATTTTATTTGGCTAATCTTTCCTTCTTCATTTTCAGGGTGACACAAACTCGGTTCACTACTTAATGGTGCCACAGCCAGTGGAAAAGCTAATCTGTAGAGAGATTGAAACTTGTGTGAACATTCTACAAAGTGTTGTTGAATTAGGTCGTTACCTGAGAGACAAACTCAACACCCCAGTGAAATACCCATTGCCGGAGGTAGTAGTCATACACAAAGATAAAGTAATTCTTGATGATGTTCTAAGACTTGAAAAGTACATTAAGGAAGAGCTGAATGTTAAGACTGTAACAACATCTACAGACAAGGAGAAGTATGGAGTGACTCTGAGAGCAGACATGAATTTCAAAGTATTGGGAGCAAGACTGAAAGGTGATGTGAAAAACGTCCAGCAGAAAGTTGCTGAGCTTACTGATGAAGAGATTCAGCAAATGCTTAATTCTGGTTCAATTACTATTTTAGGACATACTATTGATGCTTGTGATCTTAATGTTAAATACAGCTTTAGTGGTGAGAAAGCTGCTGAATTGGCATCCAAATATGAGGCCCATTCAGATGACACTGTTCTAATTCTTTTGGATACTACTCCATCACGAGAAATGTTAGATGAGGGATTAGCACGTGAGGTTGTCAACAGACTGCAGAAGCTAAGAAAGAAAGCCAAGTTAGTACCAACAGATGAGGTAACAGTATGGTATCAAGTGGATGAAAAGGACAGTGAATTAGTACCTATTATTATTAAATATTCTGAATACATAGAAAACTCTACTAGGACCCCATTTAAGCCACTCTCAGAAAAAAATAGCTCTGCTGTACTAATTGAGGAAGTAGCCAAAATTAAAGATAGCTCCCTCAAACTGGTAATCACAAAAGGATTTAGCTCAGAGAAGTCTTCTGACATAAATATTGGAGAAGTCACTGCTGCAGGTGGTGTATCTTGCCCTTGGGTCAACATTATTCTTGATGGTACACCAAGGTATGGTACTAATAGCTGTAGTGCCACACTGTTACTAGAGAACCCTGTTGGTAAACCGGTAATTACTTCCTGTCAGCAGATGCTTGAAGAAGCACATGGTATTTTTGGATTCCCCCTTGAGCATGCAAGATTATATGTTGAAAGGAAACGAATTGACACCGCAGCACCAATTATTTCACTTGCTGGAAGAACCATTGTCATCACCTATGAAAAAAACAAAGTTCCTGTTGCTACATCTGCAATCAAGCCATATAGCAAGTAAGTGATCTCCTATTAAATAGTTGTAATATATATGCATACTATGTGTGTAAAGATTTTAAAATTATAAAAGATACAGAAAAGGCAACAGGTTGCGCTTTTCAAATACAGTAGGGCCCCACTTATACGGCAGGTTAGGTTCCAGGCTACTGCCGGAAAGCAGACTTCGCTGGAAAGCAGAACACCATTTTTTTTTCCACTTATAAATGTATATAAATGCCAGATGATAAGTTTACACTACCATACATTAAGTTAGCAATAGAACTTAGGCATTAAAAACAATAAAAAGTAAAATACGCACAGTACACTCATTATTTACCTCAAAATATTCATAATCTTAATGTAGGGCAAAAGGCGAGTAGCATTTACCTTAAGAAGTTAGGTGTGGTAGCCCTCCTGGCTACCCCCACCCACACATAATATACTATGACAATGCTTAAGTAGTGATAAAATGCATATACAGTACACTCATTACTTACCTTAAAATATTTGTAGTCTTAATGTAGGGTGAAATGTGAAAAGTATTTATTTGTAGAAAGTGGTGTGGTAGGTAGGGTAGTGTAGGGAAGGCAGCCTGGCTACGCCACCCACTATGTAAACAAACAGATGATGCGTCTGGTTGTGGTTCATAAACATTCATACAAACGCCTTACATTGTGTACAAGTTGTCTCCATAGTGGTACAGTAGAATAAATAAAGACCAGCATTTCCATTCTCATGTAATTTTTAGAAGGAATGATGCTCTGACAAATTATTATTAGTACAAATTATTATTAAAAATTATTACTAAAAATTATTATTTTTTTTTTTTTTTTTTTTTCAACAAGTCGGCCGTCTCCCACCGAGGCAGGGTGACCCAAAAAAGAAAGAAAATCCCCAAAAAGAAAATACTTTCATCATCATTCAACACTTTCACCACACTCGCACATTATCACTGTTTTTGCAGAGGTGCTCAGAATACAACAGTCTAGAAGCATACACATATAAAGATACACAACATATCCCTCCAAACTGCCAATATCCCAAACCCCTCCTTTAAAGTGCAGGCATTGTACTTCCCATTTCCAGGACTCAAGTCCGACTATATGAAAATAACCGGTTTCCCTGAATCCCTTCACTAAATATTACCCTGCTCACACTCCAACAGATCGTCAGGTCCCAAGTACCATTCGTCTCCATTCACTCCTATCTAACACGCTCACGCACGCTTGCTGGAAGTCCAAGCCCCTCGCCCACAAAACCTCCTTTACCCCCTCTCTCCAACCCTTTCGAGGACGACCCCTACCCCGCCTTCCTTCCCCTATAGATTTATATGCTTTCCTTGTCATTCTACTTTGATCCATTCTCTCTAAATGACCAAACCACCTCAACAACCCCTCTTCTGCCCTCTGACTAATACTTTTTATTAACTCCACACCTTCTCCTAATTTCCACACTCCGAATTTTCTGCATAATATTTACACCACACATTGCCCTTAAACAGGACATCTCCACTGCCTCCAACCGTCTCCTCGCTGCTTGCATTTACCACCCAAGCTTCACACCCATATAAAAGTGTTGGTACTACTATACTTTCATACATTCCCTTCTTTGCCTCCATAGATAACGTTTTTTGACTCCACATATACCTCAACGCACCACTCACCTTTTTTCCCTCATCAATTCTATGATTAACCTCATCCTTCATAAATCCATCCGCCGACACGTCAACTCCCAAGTATCTGAAAACATTCACTTCTTCCATACTCCTCCTCCCCAATTTGATATCCAATTTTTCTTTATCTAAATCATTTGACACCCTCATCACCTTACTCTTTTCTATGTTCACTTTCAGCTTTCTACCTTTACACACATTCCCAAACTCATCCACTAACCTTTGCAATTTTTCTTTAGAATCTCCCATAAGCACAGTATCATCAGCAAAAAGTTACTGTGTCAATTCCCATTTTGAATTTGATTCCCCAAAATTTAATCCCACCCCTCTCCCGAACACCCTAGCATTTACTTCCTTTACAACCCCAT